CCCCACACACACACAACAGATACTGTGCACACACACAGACAGATTGCACCCTCCACACACACTTTGTTCAACATACACACAAACATGCATACATGCTGGTACTAACACTACAAAACAAATGAGCATGAAATTTCATTTTTTTTTTTCACAAAAAGTAGTATATGTACATAATACAAAATGTCTAACCGATCCCTCAAGCGCTATCTATGCATGTGTCAGTAAGTCACTTTCTCACACTCTCAAACACATACAACTAAATACTTGCATAAACTGACCAAAAAACAAAAAAAAACAAAAACAAAAAAACAAGAAAGAAAGAGAGAAAGAAAGAAAGAAAAGAAGTAAGGGTTTAATGCCCAATGTAATGAATGGTTGAACATCAAGTGAAAAATACAGACGAGGCGAATCATCAACAACAATGTGCAGTTTATGCCACACGGGAACAGCTGAGCACAGGTTTTACAGGCAACCCCCACTGACCGACTCTGTGTCAAACACGTTTAGTTTTAGAAGAGGTTTTACGGCGTTCGCAACTGAATGAGGTCATACGAGTGCCAAGGGGAGGATGTCAACAGAGAAGTCCTTACAGGGAATCAGACTTACTCTGCTGACCTCTCTAGCTTCAACAGCACAAAGTCTGCTTCGACTATCAAGGCACCCCGGAAATAGCAGGTCCCAAGAGTGTGACAAACATACAAAAGCAGTAGAGGCAAAAAATGATGATAGTAAGGATGAGGAAAGAAGCAGCAGTTCCCTGTTGTAGTTCAGGCACAGTTATGAGCATGGCATAGTTAGATCAGCCCATTTACAATTCTACTGTGCACAAGAACGAGAAATGTCCCCCCTTTGTGAATGGCCTTAAGACACTTCAGTCAGTGGCACCGCACCGGGGGATACAAACATGTTTACACATGTACAACATAACACACACACACACACAAACACACTCCCCCACACACACACACACACTACTTCATTATTCAAAATCGAGCTCGAGCAGGCACACAGATAGACACGTACAGATGTGCGTGCACGCACACATGTACACACACATCAGTGTTAGTTAATTTAGTTTTAAGTAAGAGTTTCACGGCACTTGCAACACCTTTCGGTCGCATAAGTGCTGAAGATTAAGAGGTAATACTAGAGAGTAACATACAAAAAATAAAGAAAGAGGAGAGAGAAGGGCAACAGAAGCTTCAACAGCACAAAGTCTGCTTCGACTACCAACAAGGCACCCCGGAAATAGCAGTGCCACCGACCGCAAACAGAGATGAGTACAACTGTGCACCAAGCCATGGACAATTACTGCCACAATTTTGCCAGGAACAGATCGAGATAATACCGGGAAGTTATACCGACCGCAAAGAAGTAGGAGGAGTAGAAAAACCACACCCGAACCACCCCCTCGCCCCCAAACACCAGCTTCAGCTAGTGCCAAGTCTTCTGTACAATCAACAAGCATATAAATTCAAATTCTAACTTATTTTATAAAAGACAGACAGGCACTGCAATGCCAGAAGAAAAAAAAATCCTGTAAGATATTCTACAAAAAATGAACAAGAGAAAAGTGACCACTAATTGTAAACATGGTCACCGAGGAATCGGAGAACTATCAAGGTCAAGGGAAAAAAATCTTTCATAACCCGTCATTTCATTCACCTATTAAAGCAGACTACAGGCAATGCGCATACACTAAACAGGACATATGCTGGCTGCCACGCTAGACATGGGAAAGAAAAAGGCATTAACATTTACATATTGCTCAAGACACTCATAAACTCTAGAAACTGTTTTACAAATGTGCCATCAAGTTGTAGACATACTAAACTCTTATCAATCTCACCTCGAACCTAAGCAGTCACTGTAAAAAAGTGTATACTACACTTCAGTATAGCGCAAAATATAAAAACAAAACCCAAAAAAAAAAAACAACCTTGGATGATACGTACATTACAAAAATAAGCAATACAAAAAATTTACAAAAGATGCATACAGTATTATTTGCCACTTTAAAAAAGAAAGAATTGGTCTGATAATATATTACTGGATATTGCTGGTTCACACATACTTACACACACACAGTCTTTTGCTCTCACTTTGTGGGTGGCAGCAGTTTTATCAAACATCCAATAACACCTTCACTACAAAGTGTGTGTGGTTTTCAAATCGAACTAAATGATCCGGCGACGAAAGGAACACTCCAAACTCCCACCAACTCATAAAAACAAAAGAATAACAATGATGTGCTCCTTTAAAAAAGTACGCTTTGACTCCACGTGCCAAAAAAATTGTCTGAAAACCACTATAGAAATAGTGATCCATCGTATTTTCAGGTTTACAGAAATCAAATCTCAAGACTTGAAACACACTGAACTTTGATCGAATGTCTCGTGTCCGCCTCTTTTACAAATCACACCGATTCTTTCACTCAAGACTCCGGCATTGCATTTAGCTTGACAGTTCTTGAAAGAGAAACCTACACAAGTAGTGCCTAAACAGAAGCAAAGACCTTGTAATTAAATTCCTGCATGTGGTTGAATGACACATCTGATGTGAATGTACATTTTGTCAGCTTTACTTCTATTTTCATATTGAATTTAGATTAGAGTAATATATAATTCAAATTTTTTTCAAGTATATACCTGCATGTATTTCTACGGTCCTGTACAGCTAAGAAGAATTTCCCTCTGAGATAATAAAGTATTATCTTATCTTATCTTATTCTATCCAGTTTTAAAAGGTGTCGTATCCCTTTGCTGTTTATCGCCCTGTCAAAACGGTCTCTCAACTCAAGTAAAGACTGCCCACCACTGCCCTATGCCATTAGCCTAATAAATTAGAACAAATCGTCTGAAAGTAATGTCCTCCTACATTGAATTTTTCAGTTTGTGCGATATGGTCAAAGATGCTACAAATGTTTATTTGAGCAATGCAGAGAGAGAAGAATACTCCACCCACACCATTTACATCCATTATGTGAACAATTAAAGGGAAGTACTTGTCCGGGAATCTGAGTTTTACTTTGATGAAAAAGGGAGGCAGAGAGAGAGAGGGGGGAACAGAAAAAGAAAGAAAGAAAGGAGAGAGAGAGAGAGAGAGAGAAAGAGAGAGAGAGAAAGAGAGAGAAAGAGAGAGAAAGAGAGAGAAAGAGAGAGGGGGGGTGGGGGCAAAAAGAAAGGGGGGAGGTAGGGAGGGAGGGAAGGGAAAAGGAGAGAGGGAGGGAGAGAGAATGCGACAGAGAGAGAGAAAGCAGGTATAAATTCAATAATGTAAATATCTTTCTTTTTTTTACAGCTTCCAAAAAAAATAGATATAGGTAAAATAGAAAAAGCCAACATGTCCTTCAGTCAAAAAGTACAAGCAGTCAAGTAGGCTACATAGAAAAGTTTGAATTTTGTACAAAACCATCAAAAGAAAAAGTTTTATAAACAGAGCGAAGAGCACAATCTTAAACAAGTCGTCCACTAAGTATATCTCAATATCTCAAACAATACTTTGTACCAAGGAAGAAAGTCTTCAGTGAAAGCGCATTGTGGGAACAAGGGAGGAGGGGGGAGGGAGGAGGG